TCTCTCCACACAGCAGCAGCCTTGCTGGAGAACGGGCCTGGGAGTTCACTCCTTTCCCTGCTGAGTGGGGCAGTGGGGAAAGGCCCCGAATGCCATCAGCTCCTCCAGCTGCTGTACTGCTCCCAGCCTCAACTCCTATAGGGCTCTACGCAGTGAGAGGCAGCTCCGTGGAGGGGCTAGGGACGGGACGGTACCTTTCTGGTACATTGTACCAGCTAGAAATGTCTTATTGGCACAGCAAATCAGACTAGCCTACTTGCACTGCTGGTTGGAAATAAAAAATAAAGAATTTCGGAATTCGAGGTGTTTCATTATTCAAACCAAATGGGGAATTTTCTCAGGAGGATATGGGAGGAAAAAGTCTTTTCTATTAAAAATAAATACATATAATAGAATGTTTTGATCAGCTCTACTCTTAATATTTTTCACTGATTTCATGGTGCTGAAAGCTGTCACTTCACTTAGGAGGCACAAAAAACACAGACCCTCCACTGGTGAAAAGCAGCCTAGCTCTGGTGACTTCATTGTAGCTATGCTGACATGCATGGGTCGAGCATCTGACCTATGTGCTGGGAGCCATTTCAGGGTTATTCCTTAACTATTTGTCCTGCCTGTGTCTACAGCTGTGAATAGCCATAGGCTAAATCTACACTGCATGCTTATTCCAGAATAGCTTATTTTGAAATAACATGTCTACACTGCAGGGAAGCCTCAAAATTAGTCTGAGGCAGGCTTCCCTAATGTAGATGAGCTATCTCGATTTAAAACCACAAGGCTGTGTCTAGACTGGCAAGTTTTTCCGCAAAATCATCTGCTTTTGTGGAAAAACTTGCCAGCTGTCTACACTGGCTGCTTGAATTTCCGCAAAAGCACTGATGATTTCATGTAAGATTGTCAGTGCTTTTGCGGAAAAACTATGCTGCTCCTGTTCGGGCAAAAGTCTTTTTCCGAAATACTTTTGCGCCAAAGGGCCAGTGTAGACAGCAGAGATTTCTTTTCCGCAAAAAAAACCCCGATCGCGAAAATGGCAATCAGGGCTTTTTTGCAGAAAAGCGTGTCTAGATTGGCCATGGACGCTTTTCCGCAAAAAGTGATTTTGCGGAAAAGCGTCCTGCCAATCTAGACGTGATTTTCCGAAAATGCTTTTAACGGAAAACGCTTCCATTAAAAGCATTTCTGGAAAATCATGCCAGTGTAGATGTAGCCCAAGAGGCACTGGGAAGAGGAATAACTTAGAATGGTCCTGGTGACGGGATTTTTCAAAATAGCAGCAGTGGAGCATCTACACACACTTTATTTCGAAATTGCTATTTTGTAATAGGCAGTATTCCTCGTTGAATGAGGTTTACAGATTTCGGAATAAGCCGTCCATTATTTCAAAGTAATGGAATGGCCGTGTAGACGCTCACATTGTTATTTCAGAATAATGCTAGTTATCTTGAATAACGGTGCAGTGTAGATGCACCCTCAGAGAGCTGCATGTGAAATCTGGTGCTCTGAGTGCAATGCACCCTCAGAGAGCTGCATGTGAAATCATCTGGTGCTCTGAGTGCAATTCTTAGTAGGCAAATGTCCTGTCCTCATCACAAACGTTCTTAAAAGTACCGCTAAAACACTTAAGAACTCTTCTTGACAGCCTCAACAATGAGACCGAAGAACTGAATAGGTCTTGGAAACAACTCTCTCCATTCTTAGGCCAGGTCTACACTAGGGGCGAAAGTTGGCTTAATATATGCAACTCTAGGTACATGAATTGTGTAGTTGGAGTCCATGTTCTTTAGGTTGAATTTTTGTGGTGTCCCCACTGTGGGAGGTTGATGCGAGAAACTCTCCTGTAGAATTCCTTTACTCCTTGCGACCTAATGGCATACCAAAGTTGATGGGGGTGCCATCAGCAGTCTATTACTAGACCCACTAAATCAAATCCTGAGAGATCTCTCTCTCTAATGTTGATCTCCCAGTAGTGGAGACAAACCCTAAAGTGTGGGATTAATACACATTGGTACAAGGGATTTTAATGTACTTTGGAAGGGTATTGTCATGGTTCTTGTTTAGCTAAATTGCTTAACAGAGGTGTAATTCTTACATTTCAGAAGCCCTCAGTGCTATAAATGTCTAAACTCAGATTTTTTTTTTGTTCTTTGTAAATATTTCATCATTGTAGCAACAACAATGAGCAAAAAACATTCTCTTCATAAAATGTGGTCTCGATATACTACCTTGAAGCTCCATACACTCCCGAGCCAAAGTTGTCACGGCCCCTTACTCTGTTTCCAGAATTCCCGGCACATATCTGTCCCCATGGTCCTGCAGCAACTTGTAAAGAAATGGAATATATGAAAGTGAAGCAAAATTTCTAGTCTAAAATAGCATAGAAAGGAGTTATGTAAAATATTGGCATGTAATGCATGCAGTTAATATAGGAGGAAATTCTTATAATGTATCATTTTCCAATCCATGTTCCTTGGGTGCCTCCCACAAACTAACTATTCATGTTTCTTAGCTTTAACGTAAGCAGAATGGTGATTCTTTCCCCCTTTTAATTAGAATACATGGTTTAGAAGACAAGATTTTTGAAATTTTTTTTAGACTTAGGAATCACTGATCCTATGAACAAGTTTATCTTACAGAACTCTAATGGAATCCTCATGCTTCGCCTAGATCACAAATTGTTTAGAGCAGGGACTTTCTCTCTCTCATGTTTGTACAGCCCCTGGTACAATGGGATCCCATGACTAGGCTAACTAAGTGCTACTGCAATACAAAGAGCTCAGTCATCATCATGTTCCAAAGCTGAACTTTCTGAGAACTGGTGTAGCTCTAAAAGGTAACAGCAACCTCAGAACTTCATCTTCAGTGGGAGATAAGATGACCAGGTGCTTGCTAAACTTGTAAGAGAGTCCAGATGATATGCTGAACACCAGGAAAGGTTTCCTTTTCCTGTGTATTGTTAATTTTTGGAATGGAAGGGCTACTCTACCTGTCTGAATTGAGCATATAAAAGTACATGCAGTATAAACTAAGGAGTTTTTTAGACCAGGATGGGCAATATTTTTTATGGGGAGGGGCGTTCCAAGATTTTGGTAAGTGGTCAAGGGATGCACTTTTCTATGGAGGAGGTGCAGGGTCCTGGGATGGATGTTGGGTGCAGAAGGGAGCTCAGAGTAGGGAACTGTGGGTGAAGGAAAGACTATAGGTTCTGAGAAGGAGTTTGAGTAAAGAAGGGGGTTGTGCATTGGGGTAAGGGATTGGGGTGCAGGTGAGGATTCTGACCTGGGGGGCATAGGAAGGGGTGCTGGTGAGGTGTTGTGACCTGGGGTGGGAGGGGGAGGAGGGTACAGGGGATGTGGGTGGTAACCTGGGCCAGGGAATTGGGGGCAGGTTCCAGGAGAGGATTCTGGTTGGGGTTCGGGGTCTGGGAATGAGTTGGGGTTTGGAGCGGGGCAGAGGCAGGCTCTGGTTAGGAGGTGCTTATCTAAATAGCTCTTAGGCAGGAGTCCCTGCCTGATAGCAGCCCAGACCATTCAAAGCTGCTGGCTGTTCCATGTGAGAGGATACCAGCAAAATCTATCCAGCTCCTATTGGCCAGTCTAAACTCTCATTCTCCCGAGTCCACTACGGGTGAGCTGCTCCGGGGGACTCAATGCTTGGAAATCTTAAGAAGTATTGGCCAGTCTAAACTCTCATTCTCCTGAGTCCACTACGGGTGAGCTGCTCGGGGGGACTCAATGCTTGGAAGTCTTAAGGAAAAAAAACCTGGTGCAGACAAGGCCAGAGATTCTGAGCCAGATTCTGATTTCATTCTGGTTGTAATACTGGAAGTCACACTGTTGTAAGAGAGGACAGAATTAGGTCATGTCTCTCCAATGTAAATAACTTGGTTGTATGTCATTCTAGTTTCCAGACCTGTTAAGAATGTAAAACCACCTGAACTTTGCAATTCTTATAGCATTTCTTTAAACAGGGAGTTATCATAGTCATGCCAAAGAGTTGATAAAATAGATGCACATGCTTTTATCTATTGCCAGTTAGTAGTTCTTTATAACTGGGTCGGTCACATTAACTCTTCAGAAACTAAATGCCTCAGGTTGGATTTTGAGGCAAGAATATTTAGCTAACATTTTCCTTCTTCTAAAAAGTCTGTTAGTAAAAACAAAGTGTGAAATAGTAATCTTTACTTACCAGTGGAAACCAAGGCAACCAAAACGATCAGTCTGAGCGAGAACATGTTACCAGAATTCACACTTTATAATGGTGAAGTTATAGTGTCTCTTTGCTATTTATGTGTAAAGAAAGGCTGAGGCTGTCTGCCTAGCAAATCAGAGGTTAGAACTACGGAAGGCAGTAATCCCAAATTGAGCAACTCTGGTGTTAAGAAAAACACATGACTGTTGGTAGGTCCATTTGTGAAAAGCAAATGTAACCATCAGCCTCTTGCCACACATAAACAGTAAACAGAAAAACAGCCTGAAAAACTTCACAGTTGCGACATGTTCTCCCAGTTATATTAGAGGAGACCAAGAGCTGTACGGAAAAGGGGAGCAGGTTACAAGAATACATTACCTTAGCCCTGTGGATCCACAAGGTGATAGCAGATTATTATATTTCCCTTTCCCAATGCAGTGCTTGAAGGATTGGGATCACCAGTTTCTGGTTGTTTTGAAGAGCAAGCTCAAACTATTTCTCTATTATTCTATGTGGCAGCAATCATCTGTTAGAGATTTTTAAAAGTAGTCCCAAGCTTTTATTTCACAGCCTCTGTCAATTGGTTAGCTTCTCTGCTGAACTCAAATTCTGTCTTTTTCATTTATGTGTTATGTGAGCAAACAAATAGGTTGATCTTGTGCTTTGTGTCATTATGGGATTAAGCAAGAAATGTGCAGTATTCATTAGTTGTTGCCTCCTTGTCATCTTTCTAGAGATCAATTGTAATTAGTAACTGAGGGGAAACTATATACCCTCGAAGCCATAAAACATTTTTAAAGTAGGAACTAATAATGACACGCAACTGGAAGGATGGCAACTTAGGTTCACTAACTGGCTTAGCTTGGCATCATTGGTGATGAAGCTCAAAATATGGTCTGTGATATTTCATTTTAGAGACCACCAAAGAGGGATGGGCAGTAGGGTGTGAGATGGTGTAATGCAAGCACAGACATCTGCTCAGCATGAATAAAGGCATAGAAGAGAGTCCAAATATTTTATGTTGAACTCCCAGAAAAAGTTTATTTTCCCTGTGAATTACATTCAATTATTTAAAAAAGGGCTTGTCTGAATTGAGCATGTAAATCAGGCCTGGGCAGAATCTGGCCTGCCAAGCTACCAGATCCAGCCCGCAGAGGCAGCAGGGAGCCCCAGGTAGGCTCCTTTGCTTGTCCTGCAGCACTGTACAGAAATGTGGCTGCAGGGCTCCATTTCTGTTTTAAAACTGGAGGGGGAGGGACTTAGGAGCTGCCCCGCCCCCAGCACATTTCCATTGGCTGGTTTCTGGCCAGAAACCAGTCAATGGGAGCTGCTTGTTAGAATAACAGGCAGCTGAGAAGAATCACACCCCCTCTCCTAGGCTCACTGGAAGCACATGGTCAAGCAGGCTGGCTGGCTGGGGCCCATTTTAAGTCTGCAGGTAGGCAGGCTTGTTTGGCAGCTGGCAATTAGTCTCTTGACCACAGCCTGCTTCTGGTACCCCAGCCATTTCCTGCTCCAATTCTCCCCCCCCCCCCCCCTCTGATTCCCTCTTGCACCCATACACCTTCCCTGATCTGGCACCCCAATCTCCAGCCCCAGATCACAATCCCCTCCTACCCTAGGTCACATCCCAAACCCCTGCACTCCAGTCCCCTGCCCTAGGCCACAACCACCTGCTTCATCCCAAGTCCCTCCCAGACTTCAGTCTCCCTCCTGCACCCCGGGAGGTTGGGGGAGTTGGCTCCTCCCACAGAGTCACCATGTTATCCTCTGCCCTGCTTGGTTATGTTCCTGGCTCTGCAGAAGGGATGTGGCATTGGGTTGGAGCAGGAGACTGGGGGTGCCTGGCTCTGAGGAGGGGTGGATTAGAGTGGGGGAGTTGAAGCGGGACTGGCTCTGGGGCAGGGGTGGATTAGAGTGGGGGAGTTGAGGGGGGACTGGGTTAGAGCAGGGAACCAGGCATTAGAACTTCTGGCTTCTTTCCCGTAGGTGGGCAGTGGGTCTGTCAGTAGATTTGGGGGTTCCTGTCTCAGCTCTGTGAGGACTGTGGAGCTGGTGCTTGGTGGGGTGGGCAGGGGGAAGGATGGGATTCTGGGAAGCAGGATTCCTGGGTTCTTTTTCCAGCCATGCCACTTCTCCCCTCGGTGCCTTTAACTTCATGCCCCAGGCCAGGCCCCAGTCAGCAGCCTCCCTGGCCCCCCGCTCTCTCCTCCTGGCCCCGCAGCAGCCCTGGTTGCCGGCTGGTTGGTGGCGCCCCTGAAGCCCACGCTGCTGCACGTCTTGGGGCAGTGTGGTGGGAAACCAGGAACCCAGCATGCGGCATCCCCGCGAGCCACGAGAGCCAGTGGGGGGCAGCGGCAGCCCTGGCAGCAGCGAGGTGGTGGCCAGCGCCCTGAGATTGGTGTGCACAGGGACAAGTTTGCCGGCTCCCAAGCCCAGCCTCCTGTGCGAGTAGAGCAGCTTCTGCAGCACCGTCAGGCACCAGGTGTCCTCTTTTTTGAAAGTTCAAATATGGTAACCCCATGAGAACTTGCTTATCTAATATGTATTTGAGAGAGTTTGTCTGTGAGCTAGCGAGTGAGTCAGTCTGTTCTTTGAGAGAGTTTGTCTGTGAGCTAGTGAGTGAGTCAGTCTGTTAAAAAATTCCTTCTGAATGGTAAGAGTGAAGACCACCAAATTTGGTATGCAGCTTCCTCTTATCATAATTTAAAGCAAGGTATGGGTTAGGTTTTGGAGGACAAGGCTGAAAATCCCATGCATATGGGGACAAACAAAACCATACAGAAGAGAGAGACAATCACCAGGCAGGTGAAAGGGACTGGTTGAGGGTGTGCTCCTTGTCCAGGATGGTCACAGCCCTAAGCATACCAACCCCATGGTGCTCTTTAGATGGGGGGCGGGGGGACTGCTCCTCCCATTTATATAGGAACATTGCTGACTGTTCCCCTTTGTCAGGGAGCGAGGGGAAAGTTCACGGTTTGGAGCCCAGGGGCAGATGAACCTGCCCCAGTCAGGGCATGTGCACCCCTCCCCCAGCTATGACTGCTGGAGCTGCAGTAACCATGGGGAGGTGCTTCTCACCTGGCCCCAACCTGCTGCAGTGAGAGAGGACTGGGGCTGTTCTCTCTTCTTGGTGCAGCCTGCCTACTGAACCCCTCATCCTCACCCCAGAGCAATGATTTAAATAAAAAAAAAATTGAATGAAGGACCTGAACAATGCTGGTTAAATCTAGTTAATCAAGATGAGGCTAATAACGTTCTGCTGAAGTTGAAGTTTTAAATGTTAACATTGGAACACGGGTTCATGCACCTCTGGAATCAGCTATTGTATGGCTGAAAGCAGGCCAGTGTTGGACTGATGAGTGCTGAGGTGTGTCATACAAGAATCACCTTGATGGAAGCCTGCTCCCTCTCCCTACCAAAGAGTCCTTCAGTGCCCCTGACTTGGGAGGGAGAGATACCACGCCTGTGCATGCTCACAACTACTGCATACTTGGTGATGGCATGGGCTGCTGTAGTATCTGCCTCTTTACAAGAGAAACTGTTCTCAAAAGTCTGTCAGCGTTTCCTCCCACTATAACATTCAAATCCAGTTTGCTGTAGGTGAAGTAACTTATATTCTTTTGAAACGCAGAGGTGCTCCACTAGAACACCCAGGATATAACTCCTGTCTGTCTTGTAAGAGGTATAAGAAATTTTACTGGCTAGTCTATAAACTTCAGATCAAATGAAAACTAATAGAGATATTACTTCCTGTTCCCTGTTTGCACTAGCTGTTCTCTTAGTCCCTCCTCTCTCTCTCTCTTTCAACTGGAATAAAGAGGTTGTCCCGCTTCTCTTGTAACGTGGACTCATTTTGAGATGCAAAAAGAGAGAGCGTGAGAGAGCACTTTTTTCTTTAAGAGTTCACATCAAGAATTCACATGTGTAATGAAGAAATCCTAATTTACATATTAGACAAAGATACAATATTAATATTTAAAGAAAGGCTGCAGCTGGACAACTCAGTATTTCTGGCATGGTTTATTGCGGCGCATGAGATTACAATGTCTTGGTAAATAAGCTCCAGGATGCTGATCTGATAGTGAGGCATTTAGATACAGTGACTGACACATGCATTTCTGTGTTGCTGTATGTGTAAAACCTCTTTTCATTTCCCAGGGACTACATTTTTTTTTAATCTAGCCTATTTGAGGTGAAGTGGCAGAAGCTTGCTTTTGTTTGCATGCGTAATTTTTTTAACTGGGATTTTATACCTTTCCGTTTATAAATTGCGAGTGGGATCGGAGAGGTTACAATTCTGAACGTGAACATGAGAGGTTATACCACGATATACTCTTTGCATTGGGAGCATTACTCCAATTTTTTGTCCCTTCCTGATCCGACCTCTGTATTTAACTGGCCTGATGTAGAAAATATGGATGCAGAAACCTGGAGGAAAGGAGAAGAAGAAAAGATTTAGGGAGGATAAAAGACAACTCAAAGATCATCATCATCATCTGATCTTCTTGGGGGTTGTTCTATGGCAATTTTCAGATTCTCTTTCAGGCTACGTCTACACTGCTGGCTTTGCTGGCAGTGCCTATGCAAATAAAGCATGGATTAGCATTTTGCTGTGTTTAATTTGGGTAATTTAGTCAAGCCGTTTCCACGCAAGAGGTTTTTATGCAAAAACAAGCAGTGTGGACGAGTTTTTTTTGTGTGTGCACAAAAACCTCGTTTTGCTCAAGAATTTTGTGCAAAATGGGGTTTTTGCACAAAAGAACCCCTGTCCACACTGCTTGTTTTTGTGCAAAAATGGCTTGAATAAATTATGCAAATGAAGCACGGCAAAATGCTAAATCTGTACTCCATTTGCATAGGCACTGCTGACACAGCAGTAGCCTCAGTGTTGTGCTGCTATGGCTGTTAGCAGTGCCTGCAGTGGTAGTGTGGTCCAGCCAACAGTATTCATGAAATTGAGGTTACCAGAGCTTTTAGCAGGGTGAGAAAAAGATGAAGGATTTTTTCTTATAGACCCATGGTACAGTAAATTTTAAACTCACTCTTTTAATACTTCCCCTCCTTAGTTTATAGCTGTATTGCTATCCCATTCTAGCTCTGCACACACTCTGATACAGAAAAAAGTGTGTGTTGCTGGCCCTGGTAATGGAGAACTTGGTCTGTTATGCTTTTGGAAGTGAAATAGATGAGTTGTACTGTACTTGGATTCGAACAGATGACCAGACCCTTTGAGTGAACCTGGGTCTGGACAATACAGTTATGTTTTGCTTTAATTCATTTAGACTGGGCTTCTTCCATAGCTCTCCAGTTGTTTAAGAATGGAAGGTGCAGGGCTGGCCTTACCATGAGGCGAACTGAGGCGACCACCTCAGCTGCCAGACTGTGGGGGGAGAGGGGAGCTACTAGGACCCAGAGCGTAGAAAATTGTGTCTGCTGCTGGTGCGTATATATTCTCTCTGCTCTAGATGCACAGAGATGGTGGAGTGCTGTGCTGGAGGAAGGAGGGCACAAGAGACATAACAAGCAGGCAGGAGAAAAGGGGGCATGGGGGTGTCATTTGAGCCCCCCACCTCAGCTGCCAAAATGTTGTGGGCCGTCCCTGGGAAGGTGAATGTATTTAACATTTAAAGTTTGCGAAAGATAGCTTTAATTACCTGATCCTCGGAGGAGAAGACCATTATTAATGGCATTATTCTTTCTGTAGGGTTTAACTTGTCCCCCAATTGTGCCACTGAAGGGTGCATATACCGTTGATCCATCTCTGCAAATTACATCCACACCACGGTGCTTTCTTCCTCCAAGTCTGAAAATGTGCAAGTAATGAGACAAATGCAGCTTGCATATCTGTTAGCCTGAAAGCCTACTACAAGATACACCATGTAAATGAATAAGCAACACAAGTATTAGGGATGCCATTGGTAGCCTCGTTGGGTTTCAGAGCTGTATTTCACAAAGCAGTTGGAAGGGTCTGAAGTTTCAGTCCGGTTGTAATAATGGCTCTTTCTCCATTGTTAATCCGAGTTGGTCAAACATACACTTCATTTTCCAAGAAAATACTTTCACGTTTTAAAACCTTGTTCTTGGAACGTACTTGCCTTTTTTGGCACAGAAAAAGAAAATATTCCCCTACTCCTTCCTCATATGACAACATAAACCTTTTTTTTTGGCACAGAAAAAGAAAATATTCCCCTCCTCCTTCCTCATACGACAACATAAATCTCAGAAACTTCATTTTTGTGTGTTTTGATATTTCAGTGAAACCCCGGAATCATTCCTTGAACAAAAGGTAAAATGGCAAGAAGACCAGGCAATAAAGTCTTTTTTTTTTAAACTAAAAATAAATAAATAAATTTGATAGAAGTGTTTTGACTAAAAATAAATAAATAAATTTGATAGAAATGTTTTGACCAGTTTGCCTCTAAATATCTCTCATAGTGCTGCAGGCTTTTCAATTACAAGGCTCAAAAGAACAACGGACTTTCCACCAGCATAACGTGGCATCAGTCCAGTAACTTCATTGCTTCTATGCTGACATACGCTAGCTGAATTTCTGACCTATGAGCTGGGGCCTCAGATCACTCATGCACTTGAAGTGAGACTATTTCAATGCTACTTCTTAACTAGTTCTGTCCTGCCCCTGTCTAGGGACACAATGTGAACAGCTTGAGAGAGCTGCACGTGGTCTGAGTCAAGTTTCTAGTGGGCAAACGTTCTGTTCCCATCACAAACAGCATTAGGAGTGCCACTCAAAGACTTTTTTTGGCAGCCTCAGCAATGAGAGTTCAAGGACAGTATGGAGACGTGTGTCTGCTTTTTTTTTGGCAGCCTCAGCAATGAGAGGCCAAGGACAGCATGGAGACGTGTGTCTGCCATTCTCGGTGTGGTCTATCATATGAGGGCTTAATGCACATTGGGAGGATGTTGTGATGGTTCTTCTTCGGCAACTTGCTTTGCAGAGGTGTTATTCTGACACACTTCAGAAGCCCTGAGTGCTATCACGGATGGCTAAACTCAGACTTTTTTGTTCTTAGTGAACATTTTATTTATCAGCAACAATGAACAAACACAACAATTCCACACACAAAATAGTCTCAGCCTACCACCTTGGAGCTCCATAATGTCCACAGCCTAGCCTGTCACAGCGCCTTGGTTTGTTCTTTGGATTCCCAGCACATATCATTCCCCATGGTCCTGCAGCAACTGAAGAAAACATGGAAGATACAAAAACAAAGCAAATGTCCTAACGTTAAATGGGAGAAAAATGTGTTCTACAAAATGTCTGCTGTGCAGCTAATGGAGTTAGTATAAACAGATGCTAGAATTTCATTAGTAGTCTGTGTTGTGTCACTTTCCAATGCATGTGGCTTGGGTGCGTCCCACAAACTAATGGCTCTGTGCTGCTTTGCTTTAATGTAGGGCTTTTTCTTTAGCTGGCATGTTTTAGAAGACACAATTCTATTTTTTTTTTTTTTTTTTTTTTACATGGGAGTAACTGATCTTATGAACAAGTTTCCTGGATGGAATTGTAAAAGGATCCCCATGCTTCCCTTAGAGCATAAATTGTTTGGAGAGAGGATTCTCTTTTTCTTCTATTTGCACAGCACCTGACAGAGTGAGGTCCTGGCCCATAATTGGGGCATCTCAGTGCTACTGCAGTACAAATAATGTGTAGCCAATGAGTCTAAGGATCAGACACTCACATCTACCTTCAGTGCAAATATATTGATGGTAATCAAGGGTCTGAGGGTATCATTTCACTGGGAAGTACAAAAGTGTATGGTCACACAACACCATGGATGTTGGCTTGCTGTCAGGTGTCTTATTAAAGTATCAGCTCACTGAAGGATTCAGAAAACATCTCTAGATGCAAGTTGACAAGCTGCCTGAAGGCTGCGTGATAGCACACAGCAATAACCATTCTGCTTTTCTGCCTTTCCTAGCCCTGATTCTGAACAGAGTTGAACCACGGAGTTGGAGATTAGCAGCATGCAAGTGGTCCTTTAATGCTCAGAGAAAAGGGCGCACTTCCAAGTTCCTGTTTCTATACAGCCCTCATCTGAACTCCCCTGCAGCCTATTCATGGACTTCAATGGACCCTAGATCAGATTCTGTACCAGGCTAAAAAGAAAAATAAACCACTTGGGTGTGTTGAGAAAAAGGGAACCAGAGGACTTTGCTCATAAAACTGATTAATCTAGAAAAGCTCTATATTCACTAGGCGATACTTACGTCTAGTGTGTTTCCACTGCTATTATACCAGCCTTACTCAGTTATCTATTTTGAGATGGAAACTCCAGAATCCATAATTCAGCAGATGATGGAGTGTCACTTGGAAGCCACAATTCTGTAACAGATGGATTTCTCACTCCCTTAACCTGTGTGAAGGTGGGTTCTGCAAGCCGATTATCCTTTATACAAGCTCATGTCTCATGCACCTATGTGGTGTCAGGTGCAGCTGGCACCAGTGTTTGAAAGCTGGGGGTGCTGGGAATGCTCTAAAAGAGAACAGCGAGTTCAGAAGCCTAACTTCAGTGGAAATTAGGATGCCCCGTTGACAGTCTGGAATTGATACTTGCTCAGCTTGTAATAGCGAGTCCAAGTATTAGGTTCAGCTCCAGCAAAGGCTTTTTTCTTCATATATAATAGCGAGTCCAAGTATTAGGTTCAGCTCCAGCAAAGGCTTTTTTCTTCATGTATATTATGTTAATTTTGAGGAAGGAAGGGCTACTCAGTCTGCTTCCATCTGAATTTAGCATATCAATCTATATCCAGTGTAAACAGGAGTTTTTAGACTTTGATTGGCTCTCCGTATCAAAGCACTGTAGAACTTGGAATATATGTTTTGTCTGGCTAGAGGAAAAATTTTCTTTCACTGCAAACACAATACTTAGAACAAACCCTTCAGTGCTTCACTAAACCACCACTGACTCAGTTCTTATTCAGTGCTTCACTAAACCACCACTGACTCTCATTTCTTCCACCCCAGTTTTCACAAAGAGGCTCTGTCTGTGCTCGATTTTACTTTATATTTCCCATGGTTATTTCCACCAGTAGTAGAAACAGCAGACCAGAGAGTGTATAGATCAGTCACTGGTACTTTTTCCATCCTTTTTTATCCATCTCTCACCCAGGGTTGAGACAGACGGCAGGATGGTTAAAATGGCAATAGCAGCTGTTTTCTGATTTAAACTCTCATTTCCCACATACACTGCTGATTGAGCTGCCCCAGTGGAATCAATGCTTGGAAGTCTTCAGAAGAAAAAGCCTAGTTTGGACAAGGCCAGAAACTCTGAGTCTGATTCTGATCACATTCTGGTGATATTGTGTGAAATTACAACCCCCACCAGTGTAAGGGAGATCAGAAATCTGTCTCTCCAAATCTTAAAGGTTAAATGTTCAATGTGACTTCTTCCAATACAGTAGCAATCGTATTACAAAGGCATAACAAATAGTAAATTCTTTTAGAAATGAACCAAAGTTAGTAACTTGGATGGCTGTGTATATTCTAATTTCCAGACCTATTAAGAATAAATTAAAATGTTATGCAGTTCTCATAGCATTTCTTTGAACTTCCTAGTGAGTTGATTCTAATTTCCAGACCTATTAAGAATAAATTAAAATTTTATGCAATTCTCATAGCATTTCTTTGAACTACCTAGTGAATTATCATAGTCATGCCAAAGAGTTGATAAAATAGATGCACATAGATGCTTTAATATATTGTCAGTTAATAGTTCTTTAAAATCTTGCATGTTACATTAACTCTTCAGAAACTAAATTCTAGCAGGATGGTAGCTGACGCATTAATATTTAGCTGATATTATCCTTCTGCTAAAAATCCATTTGAAGAAAGCTCTGACAAGGCATGAAATAGTAGTCTTTAACTTACCAATGGAGACCAAAGCAACAAAAACAATCAGCTTGAGTGGGAACATGTCTCAGATGGTTGGCTAGAGTTTTCTGCCCAAGTTGAAGTTATAATGTCCAGTGTCTTTCCTATTTATGTGTTCTAGAAAGGCTGTGTCTGTCTGCCTATCAAATCAGAGTTGAGAACTCTGGAAGGCAGTATTCCCAGGTTAGGCAACACAGACTTTTAGAAATAAAATAACCGTTGATATAGCCAGTTGTGAAAGGCAAATGTAGATCCTTGCTACATAAAAACAGATGATGCTAGGTCAACCACCTGAAAAATTGCACAACTCTTGAGCAGCTTCAGTTGTGACATGTCTTCCCTCATATAGTGGCTGGGACCCAGAGAGGCAGCAAAAAGAGAAGAATACCAAGAGTACATTGCCTAAGCCCAGAAGGTCTACAAGAAGTAGGGCAGTTGAGCCTAACCCAATGATATGTCTTGAATCTTTTATGTAAAACCAATATGTCTCTTACTTTGCTGTTCCTATATCCATCGTTGCCTTCCCTGGATGTGTGTGCTTATTAAAACTTCATGAATGATATCAGAGAGAATTTAACAGGCTAAGCTAAATGGCGGTTAGATTAGTATAAACATGCACTTTAAAATCCATACATACGCTTTTGTTTTCAGTGGGAAAACGCCATTATCCCAGGAGGAGCATTGCCAGCAGATCTAGAGAAGTGATTATTCCCCTTTATTCAGCTCTGGTGAGGCTACATCTGGAGTATTGTGTTTAGTTCTGGGCCCCCCACTATAGAAAGGATGTGGACACATTGGAGAGGGTCCAGCGGAGGGTGACCAAAATGATTAGGGGGCTGGAGCACATGACCTATGAGGAGAGACTGAGGGATTTGGGCTTATTTAGTCTGCAGAAGAGAAGAGTGAGGGGGGATTTGATAGCAGCCTTCAACTTCCTGAAGGGAGGTTCCAAAGAGGAAGGAGAGAGGCTGTTCACAGTAGTGACGGATGGCAGAACAAGGAGCAATGGTCTCAAGTTACAGTGGGAGAGGTCTAGGTTGGATATTAGGAAAAACTATTTCACTAGGAGGGTGATGAAGCACTGGGATGGGTTACCTAGGGAGGTGGTGGAATCTCCATCCCTAGAGGGTTTTAAGTCTCAGCTTGACAAAGCCCTGGCTGGGTTGATTTAGTTGGGATTGGTCCTACCTTGGGCGGGGGGCTGGACTTGGTGGCCTCTTGAGGTTTCTTCCAGCTCTGATTCTATGATTCTTTATTCCATGGTAGCGGTCATCAGCCAGTGCTCTTGTAAAATAGTTCTAAAGAAATTTTATTTCCCAAAGTTTGTCACTTTTTATTTTTAGTATCTCGGATAAACCTCAAATTCCTTGATTGTTTTTCACTTACATTCTTGTTTACTAGGAGCATGAAAGAAATTGTTCTTCAAGTCTATGTAATTACATTCTTGTTTACTAGGAGCATGAAGGAGATTGTTCTTCAAGTCTATATAGTTATGGGAGTAAGAAAGAAACATGCTCCATTCTTTTGCAGTGTGGTCTTTCTTTTTTATCTCTTTTGAGGTCGGTTGTAACTGGTAGCTAAGGGGTAAATGAAACATTTTGTGGCTTCGAGTTTATTTAGAGAAAAAACTCATCAAAATCAATCCTGCTACATGAAACAAAGCTAAGAGGAGAGCAATGTAGTTTCACTAAATGGAATAGCCTGGCTTTATTGGCATTGATGTACAAAATATGGTTTGTGCTGTTTCATTTTAGAGCAGGGATGGGCAATAATTTTTGATGGGAGCTGCTCCAATGTCGAGGGCCACATTCTTCCATGATATTAATGGAGATGTGGGGTCTGGAATGGAGGTTGGGTGCAGAAGGGAGCTTGGGATAAGGGACTGGGGTGCAAGACGGAAACTAGAGCCTGGGAGGGAGCTGGGATGAAGCAGGCGGTTATGACCTCGGACAAGGGACTGAGTGCAGGGGTTTGGGATGTGATCTGGGGCAGGAGATTGGGGTGCCAGATCTGGAAGGATGTGTGGGTGTAAAAGGGCACCAGAGGGTTTAGGTATGTTGGGGAGGGGAGAGAATTAGGGCAAGAAAGGGTTGGGGTGTCAGAAGCAGGTTGTGGCAAACAGACTTACTTGTCAGCTGCCAAATTAACCTGCCTGTTGGCCAACTTAAAATGTTTCCTTGACAGCCTGGCCATGTACTTCAACTGAGCCCTGGAGAGGGGGCATGATTCTTCTTAGCTGCCTGTTATTCTAAAAAGCAGCTCCCATTGTCCCGTTTCTGGTGAGAAACTGGCCAATGGGAATGTGCTGGGGGCAGGGTGGCTCCTAAAACTTCCCCCCAACCCTCTAGTTTCAAAACAGAAATGGGGCCCTGCAGCCGCTTTTCTGCACAGTGTGCCTGCCTGACACTCCCCCTGCCACCGCGGGCTGGATGCAGCCCATGGGCCGTATTTTGCCCAGGCTTGTTTTAGAGACTACCAAAGAGATCAATGGGATAGTTTATTATTTAGCATGTGCATAGTTATCTAGCCAAGCAATGGCCTCTGCAGTGGCATGGTGCACCTCTTCTCGGCGACCATTGAACCTAGTCAGCAGGCGTTCGACAATGTGCGTCATCATCTGTGGTGCACCACAACAGCACAAAGTGCTGTCCTGAGAGCCCCAGTGATACTGGTTGGCTGCACAGTACCTTTGTCCAGGTCAGAACCTGTTCAATGGGGCCCATTGGAGGTTAGGGAGTTCAAAACCCAGCGTGTAGATTGTGGGGTCAGCATTATAGGACTGATTGGGGATCATAACAAAGATCCTTTCCTCTTGCCAGAGTATTTCCATCCTAACATCCTGGTGTGGTGGAGGGAACCATAATGGGCGATGTGATGGCAAACGTGTGGCTGGTGATTTAAACAGGTCTCTGCGCAGTACGAGGCTTGGGTTGGCATGCACTTCCTTCAGTAACTTGCCAGTGGCAACCTCTTATTTGATAGTAGGAGCAATATTGTCCAGAACCAGGAGCCATGGGGGTGGAGCTGGAGCAGGGTGCTGGAGATGATACACACGGTGGCATGTAATTGGGTGTGTGACGATTGACTCCATACTGGTGTGTAGTACTCCACCACCGAATACAAGGTGGCAAGAGCTGACATCCTTTCCCCCTTCCACCTCCCGTATCTCCCCGGATTGGTGGGCCTGTCTATATCCTCACTGGCCTCATCCAGTCAGAGTTGGTCACCTCACACTAAATTTTAGCTCAACATTAACAAGCTAGTTGAGCAGTTTTCTCCTTTGCCTCCTTAGAAGAGCTCTTGTATGGACCTGCATTTTCTGAAAGTCTTTATATTTTGACTTTGCAATCTGTTCAGTGTAATGATTGTCCTGTGAGTTTAAACAAAGTGCCCGTGTTTCCTTGCACCATCAGGAGTAGCATGTTCCTGTGAAGACCGGACTAACCCAATGGTCCTGAGCTTTACCCCTGGCACTCCCTCACGAGATGTTACCTGGTAAATCATTTCACTGTTCTAGGCTGCGTGTCACCTGCCAGTGGAATGGGGATAGTAAAACTGCAAAGAAAGCTCAAGTGTTTTGAGCTCAATGAATGACAAATCTAAAAGCAAGCAGAAGAGAACTCTCTCTTATCTTCCCCTTGTATATTCAATGCAAAAGGTGGTTGTTGCTTTTCAGCAGCTGAACAAATGAAGGAAAGTGACTGAAGAATTTCACTCAACTGTCAATGTAAAGTTTTAAATAGTTAGAAAGTAAAAGTGAACCTTGAAACACAAGTTGGTGCATTTATGGCATGAGCAATAGTTCTGCTGTTCCACTAAAAGCAGGCTGGTGTTGGACTGATACAGGCTGAGGTTTGACATACAATGAGAACACCTTAAAAGCTGCCTGCTCCACTCCTCTACTTGCCAATCTTCCAATACTCACTTCTTTGGAGGGAGCCAGCCCCATGCCTGCTCAAAAAAACATGGCATTCTTGGCCATAGTATGGGTCACTACGGGATCTGCTTTTCTGCAGGAGAACAGTCTCAAAAGTCTCCATGGTTTTTCCCCTGGCTGCCATTCAGATCCAGTCAGGGAAGGTGAAATAAAATGTGTCCTTTTAAAGCCCAGGAGTACATGAAGGATATGAACTCTGGCTGCCTGGTATGGGATGTAAGTAATTTCATGGGCTATTCTATAAACTTCATTAACAGTGAAAGATTAATGCTTTTCTGTTCCCATTGTGGATCCATGGTTCTCTTAAACTCTACCACTGACTCTGCCTTTCAGCTGAAGGATGAGCATGTCCTGCTTCTCTTTATAATCTGGGCTCTTTTAGAAATGCAAAAAGAGAAAGCACTCTTCTTTAACAGGTCACACCATGATTCCAAGCATGTACTGAAAGATTTCCAATTCATATGTTTGGCAGGGATACAATATTAAAACAAGTATTGACGCCAAAAAAAGGTAGCAGTTGGACAGGTTTATTGCTGAGCTTGAGATTACAATTCTGTAGGCAAATAAGCACTGGGATGTGAAATTTATAGGGAGTTACTTGGCTATTGTGGCTGACATGCATTTATGTGTTGCTGTATGAGCAACACTTTTTGTTTCCTATACGCTGTTTTTTTAAACTATGCCTGACTGGGGTGGAGAGGAAGAATCTTTCTTGTTTTCGCTCAGAGGATTTTATTTGGGACTTTGTACGTTTCCATGTATTGCCTATTTCCATTTATAAGTTGTGAGTGGGATCAGAGCGGTCACAGTTCTGGACATGAACAAGAGATGTTATACCAGGATAAACGCTTTGCATTGGCAGCAGAACTCCAATTTTTTGTCTCTTGAAAATCCGACCTCTGTATTTAACAGGCCTGAAGAACAACATTTGGATGCAGAAACCTGGAGGCAAGAGGGGGAAAGTGAAGATTTAGAGAGGATAAAGAAACATCAAACTTTGAAGAACATAAGAATGGTTCAGAGCAAAGGTCCACCTAGCCCAGTAATCCTGTCTTCTGACAGTGGCCAGTACCAGGTGACCCAGAGGGAATGAATGCAACAGGTAACCATCAAGTGATCCCTCCAGTCATCCATTCCCAGGTTCTGACAGAGGGTAGGGACACTAATATCTGAGCTCCTTGGCTGTCTGTACTATGGCAATTTTTGGCTTGTCTGCCTATTTTGTACTGCCAGTGGTGCTAGCAGTCCTGGCAACTGGTTCAGTCCAGCCAACCAGGAGACCGACAGAATTTCTGGGGCTTGGGCAAAGTGAGGAGGGCTGACTCCATGCTCCTATAAGGAATGGGGCCTCAGGACGAAGGGGTTGGACTGGAGCTAACTTCTTCTCCCCTCCCATGCTCCTCCCATCCCTTCAGTAGCCAGGAGCCCCAGGCCCTTTTGAATTGTGCCTGGGGGGAGTTGTTCCTTTTGGCCAGCCCTCCTCTCCTTCCCCTTCTCTACCCATTGCTGGGGCTGCAGCAAAAAGGTTGTGAAACTGGGGTTTTGATGGCATGGAGGGGGGGAGGGCAGAAAAAGTGAAGGATATTTTTCTTCTAGACTTGAACAGCAGCATATTTTCAAGCTCTTTCTTATATTTCCTATCCCCACTATGTTCTTCTCTTTGATTTGCTCACTTTAGATGAGCTGAGAAAAAAATGAGGATCTAAGTTGGTCGACAGCTAGAGGGGGAAAAGGAGTGTGTTCCTGGTCCCATTGTTGCAGAACTCAGCCTGTTATGTTTTTAAGAGTGAATAAATTGCATTTCGATGCAAATATAAGAACAGTTCGCTCTGAGTGAAATGTAGGCCTTGGGCTTCTTAATACAGTTATTTTTTCTATAACTTCATGTTGGTTGTGCATCTTTGCTAGCTCTCCAGTTGGTAAAAAATGGAAGGTAAACCTAATTACTAAAATTAAAGTTTATAGAAGATTTCTATATTATAGCTTGTTTACCAGAACCACGAAGTTGGATGCCATTATTAATGGGTTTATTCTTTCCAGGGCTGAAGGGGTTAACTCGTCTGTCAATCATGACGCTGAAAGGAGCATACACTGTTGATCCATCGCTGCATACGACGTCCACCCCTTTGTGCCTTACATGTCTATCTCTGAAAATGTGTAAGTAATGATTTTACATATTCATTAGCCTTATAGCCTAATACTAAATACACCATGTAGATTATTTAAAACAATACAAGGACCATGGCTACCATTGTTAGCTTAATCGTTTCAGAATTTTATTTCCGCAATGGAGATAGAAGGGTTTGAAGTTTCAGTCCAGTTCTAAAAATTGCAAGTGTCTCTCAACTGTAAATCAGAGCTGGTCACAAATGGATTCCATTTCCCATGAAAATTTTTGAAAATGCTAAAAATGTACTTTTTTAAAACCTTTTCAGTGATCATGGAATATAACGCAGTTTCAAACAAACAAAAATAACACAGTTCTGCCTTGCCCCTGCAACAACAATCTCAGAAGTTAAAATGTGTTCCTTTACTGAAAATGAAAAAATAAAACAAGTTCAAAATATGAGGATTTTGATATTTTTCCATGAAAACTAAGTAAATTTCCTGGAACAAAAAGGAAATGTTCTCAAGAAGGCACGGAAAGAAAAAGCTATTTTTCCACTAAAAATTAATTCAATTTGCTGGAAATGTTTTGACCAGCTCTACTTTGAATATCTCTGAATATTTAATTTGATGGTGCTTCAGACAGTCCATTCACACGCAAGATTCAAATTACACTGTACCTTCCAATGATGAGAATCAATACAACTCCAGTGACTTCATTGCAGCTGTGCAGACTTCCATTTGCTGAGCATCTAACCTATGAGCTAGGGATCTGGATCATGCAAGTGTTTGGAAGTGAGACCATTTTAATGTTGTTTTGCAACTAGTTCTGCCCTGCCCATGTCTAGAGCCACAAAGAAAAATAGCCTTGGAGAACTTAATGTGGAATGGTCTTGTGGTCTGAGTGGAGTTCCTAGTGGGCAAACGTCCTCATCACACAAATCCTTAGAAATAGCACTAAGGTACAGTACCCAAGGACACTTTGGTTTTTGTTTGGTGAACTACACTGCAGTGGTGTGATGCTGCTGCTAATAATAATAAAATGGCTCAATATACAACCTTGAAGCATTATAATGTCCACAGCCAAGTTTGTCACAGCCCCTTAATGCATTGTTAGGATTCCCAGCACATATCCGTTCCCATGGTCCTGCAGCAACTTCAAAAGAAATGACATATAAAAAGTGAAGCAAATGTTATAACCTTTCACAGTGGAGAATATTACACATATTGGCACTTTCACAGTGGAGAATATTACACATATAGGCAATGTCTACACTACGGGGTTTCTCGGCAAAAAATATGCGAATGAGGGGCTCATTTGCATGAATCATGATAGAATTTGCATGTTTTCTGCCGCTTCCACCAACAGCAAGATCGGTATAGCTCCTTTTTGGGGCATAAGGATCTTGCGGAAAAAGAGGTTTTTTTGCACAAAAAGAAAATGTTCCACTCTGCTTGTTTTTGTGCAAAAATCCCAGGGCAAAAACTGATTGGCAGAAAATATGCATATGAGATCACGACTCATGCAAATGAGTTCCTCATAAGCATATTTTTTTCAGAGAAAACTCGTAGTGTAGACATAGCCATAATGTTTGCTGTGCAACTAATGAAGTTAATGAGGAAGGACACCAGAATTTCATTACTAATCTGTGTTATAATGTGTCACTTGCCAGTGGTACTTGTTGCTTGTGTGAGTCCCATAAGCTAATGGCTCTAAATTTCTTTGCTTTAATAGAAGTAGGATTCTGGTGGAGGGGGTGTTTCTGTTAATTAAAAGGCACCACTAAGAAGACAAGATTGATATTTTTTTTTAACATAGGTATAACTGAACCTACCAACAAGTTTCCTTGCTAGAGCTGTAAAGGGAGTCCCATGCTTCACTTGGATCATAAACTCTTTATAAGAGGATACTCTTTTCCTCATGTTTGTACAGTGCTTGGCTCAGTGGGTTCTGACCCATGACTAGAATACTTAGATGCTACTGCAGTACCAATCATGTATAACAACTGTGCATTATGTGAAGAGAAACTTCCTTTTGAAACCTGCTGCCCATTCATTTCATTTGGTGACCTCTGGTTTGCTAGGTCCATGCTCTCTCTCGTCTTTCCAGTTTTGCCCCATAACCTAGATCGGCCCCAAACTGTACTCAGCCTAAAGCTCCCCGGCATTGTCCAGGCAGTTTTATATCTAACAAGGTTCAACGCATCTCATAACATTTTATTCTAGATATACTTCATTTATTTTTATGGATGCTTTGTGGGATAATATATTTTTCAATGTCCCGTCAAAATAAATACAGGGAAAAACCTACAGACATTTTCTTCTGCTGAATAGGTATTTGCAGTAGAAGACAAGAGTTAGAATATCTGATACCCACTCCAAGACATGAATCATGTATGCCATGTCTTTTTATGAGTTCAGCTAGTAATCATAGCCAATGTACAGAAAGGATATCACACTTTTATCTACATGCAGGACAGGATAGTTTTATGATTTCACACTTTAATAGTATTTTTAATCCTCTACAATTCTTCAAAGAGTCCAGTTGAACTCCGAAGAGCATTTTTTATTTCCTGATAGTGATTGGCTGTAGAGAGAGAGTGTAGATGTAGCTGTTGTTGTATTTAATACAAGTATGTAAGCGGTTAAATGAAATATATGGCTTACTGTTAGCAATCATAGGAAAACATTGAGAAATGGTGTGCTTGATTAGAAATACTGGAATGCAGCTTAATTGGAAAAAAATTAGATCTAAAAAGGTAACTGAAAACATAGGAGGAAAAGTCCTTGGAAAAAGCCCTGATTATATGGGATGGTTGTAACAATAAAATGCGGTTGTGCACAATGAACCAGTGATGATCCCAAACAGTTCAAAGCTTGGTTTTTTTTTCACTAGGCTAATAACATTTATGATATCACTTGTTTGTTGCAGTCTATAAAAGAGCCAGGCTTGCTAAGCATGTTTATCAGATCCTACCCAATCATGCTGAAATAAGCCAGGATTGAAGGATTGTCCTTTCGTGGGTGTTCTGATAGTCTTATGGATGTTACTGCTAATTGTTTAAGCTTTTAGACATGCTGGGAGGAATTGCAAAAATACAATTTGTCCTTTAGATTGAATAAAGGTATTTATGGTGTAAGAGGTGTTGTGGTGGCATCAAAAAAAAAAAAAAAAAAAGATTATAACAGCTCTACAGAAGTGGATACAAATACCACATCACTAGTGAAAAATATATCTGAGTTAGTAGTTCCACAAAGGCTTTCACAATGGACATAGAGTAAATTTAGGTAAAAAAAAGTTTATTTCACTCAAACCTGTTTCTTCCTATAGAACTTCATCATTTAGAGGAAAGGTCTTTTATATAGCAGTAACTAGAAAAATGTAAGTTTATAGCATCTAACAAATTTACATTGAATGATAGCAATTCACTGAAAAATAGAATGTTTCCTCCTTTGTGCTTCTGGTCCTTTTATTAGAAGATCACAGATAAAGTCTAAAATGGTATAACCCTTTTCATCATGGCCATGGTTTAAAACCATTTAGAGGCTTTTGGGACAAACCCCAAATTGCTGATGGAGATAATATACTGTTACCCGCCAATAGTCTGTGTTATGCAATAGACATGAACCAATATTTAACTGGAATCTTTGTCTGTAACTTTTATGGATTTTGCTCATAAGGTATTTACAAAATTTAGATGTGGTGTTTCAAAAACACAAGTTGCAGTTGAACCCAGATCTGCTCCTGTTTCCTAAAGATGATTTTCCAGCAAAAAAATGTCACTTAAATCTCAGGAACATTACAAAATGATTTTGACATACCAGATGAAATCAAGGAAGCAGCTCAAAATTTTGCTTTCGAGTCAAGGGTCTAAAATACTTGGCTTTCTATTTATACATGCCAAGAGAGGTTATGTCTTGGTTCCGAGCCAATCAGGCATTATCTGAGAAATTTGAGAGGAGTCAGTTTTCCTGCCTGAGAACTTAATTTGTAAGGCCAAATACCAATCAGAATAGGCTTTCTATTGAGGATGTCTTACGAGGGCAGCTAAGAAAAAAAGTGTGTTAATGCCAAACCCTTTGGCAAAAGTAATTATGTGGCTTTGGAGAATGCAATGCAATTGATTTATTTGGAGCTTTTTAAACAAATGAACAATGTGTTTAAAATTTTAAAAGGGGAGAATTCAAGAACCAATTGCCGATATCTTTCTCTTCATTCCTCTTCATTCTCTAGCTGAATGACTTATTTCAGAAAGATAACAGGATGGAAGGTAGGAAGAGAATTCAAAGTAATCTGTAAAGCTACTTGGGCAGGCATGTGGACAAGCACACACCACACTTTTGGGAAGGAATTCAGCTAATTGGACACTTCAGTACTTGACAAGGTGAACACTGAGTAATCCACCTTATTTTGGGAAAGCTGTGGGCAGAGAGAACCTTATTAGAATGTTCCAGGAAATGTTCTTTTATGTCTCACCAGAAAATGGGACATCTCCTACTCAGTTACATAAGGCTATTTTATCATACATCTTAGATTTGATACACCTTCAGAGTAAACATCAGGAAATGCCACAGGGCTACTATCTGGAGCATGGCTGAATGTAAAACCAAGAAATCGTATGATAATGTGGGTAAACCAGAATACAAGAATTCCAAGAAAAGGAAAGTGCTAAAGCATGAATAAGGCAAACTGAAGTTGTTTTGGGGTAAGGGAGGGAATGTGATCTGTTGGTGATATCCAAAGACTAAGAGTTGACTTGATATTCTTGGCTCTTCCTCTGCCAGTTGGATATGTTTAGGGAGTTGTCATTTCCCAGACGGCTTAACTGTAAAAAAATGAAATCCAAGTTGAACCTATAAAATCTGGGAGACTCTGGTCAGGCAACATCTGTGGTCTGTCAGGACCATGGATGTTCCTGGGCCAGAGAGCCCAGGCCTCCAGCAGACGGACGGCAATAGGACCTGTGAGCTGGAGCCTTACTAGGCCCAGGAGTCTGGTAGGTGGGCGGGCAGCCCAGTGGGTCAATCCAAAGACTAAGAGTTGACTTGATATTCTTGGCTCTTCCTCTGCCAGTTGGATATGTTTAGGGAGTTGTCATTTCCCAGACGGCTTAACTGTAAAAAAATGAAATCCAAGTTGAACCTATAAAATCTGGGAGACTCTGGTCAGGCAACATCTGTGGTCTGTCAGGACCATGGATGTTCCTGGGCCAGAGAGCCCAGGCCTCCAGCAGACGGACGGCAATAGGACCTGTGAGCTGGAGCCTTACTAGGCCCAGGAGTCTGGTAGGTGGGCAGGCAGCCCAGTGGGTCACCGGGACTGGGGGGATCAGCTGTGGGGCTGGCAGCTGAAGCCAGGAGTGGAGTTGGGTGAAGTGGAGGAGACTGACTTTTCTTGGTCCGGAGAACTCCCTCGTTTGGGATCAGTCTGGTCCTGAGGGTACTGGACCAGGAAAGTCCAACCTGTTGCTTATAATTACATATAATTTTATTTTGGGACTTTCAGATGTGGTTAAAAACCCTTCTTCTTTTCATGCCCCTGCTCCTTTTAAAGTGGAATACAGGCAGTCCCCGGGTTACGTACAAGATAGGGACTATAGGTTTGTTCTTAAGTTGAATTTGTATGTAAGTTGGAACTGGCTCCAGATTCAGTCGCTGCTGAAACTGATCAGCGGCTGACTACAGGAAGCC